TTGGTCTGTTTTCTGGAATAGGATCCCAACATTTTTCAATAATAAACTTGAATAATTTAGGAACATTATTTGGTATCATCGGTCGTACTCCATTATAGATATTCCGTACGAGATCATAACTATGACTCCGCTCACCGAATGGTCGTTCACCTGTGGCAACCTCGTACGCAACCATCCCGAAACTATAAATATCTGCAGCTTTAGTGTATGGTTTTTCATTTAGTACCTCTGGACTCATATAAGGAAGTACTCCGCGAATTTTTTGATTAGATTTATTTGTGTCTGCTGGTTTAGTAAGTCCAAAATCAGCAATATTAGCTCTACTATAATGCAATAATATATTTCCAGGGTGGAAGTCACGATGCACAAATTCTTCTTTGTGAATTTTATTTAACCCTTCAATGATCTCAATTAAATATTCTAATTTTTGTCCCCAATTCAATTTTTGGTGGTTGGAATTCATATATTTGCGTAAATCGCCATCTTCTGCATAATCCATCACTATCGAGTAGTCATTTGTAGCTGGGTTTTTAGTTATTCCATAATATTTTATTCCATAAGAAGTGCACTTTAGAGCCGTCTGAATCTAATTTTGAAAAAGTTAATGATAATGAAAAAAAAGCAATATGCTTACACTTAAAAATGGTTCATTTACCTCGGTTATAAACTCGGATGTAATTTGTTTCGAATTGTGTAATGATTTCAACACAACTTCTTTGTCTTTATCATTTCGTTTGAATCTATTTTCTTCATGATTCCACATGTTATCTAGACGGATTGCTTTATAAATTGATCCGAAACCTCCTTTTGCAAGATATTTAACATCAGTAAATCTTTCAAAAGGGATCCATTCGAATTTATCATTGATTTTCGCGCATTCATTTATTAGACTGTCGATATTTTTATTTTCGCTAGACAATTCGATTCGTTTGTGGTAATCGATACATGGAAGGCAGTAATTCGAGTGTCGACAATTGTAACATTCACTACAATCATGAGTATTCATTACTACCGAATATTCATTTGTAGCTGGGTTTTTAGTTATTCCATAATATTTTATATCACTGCACTTTAGTGTAGTCTGAATCTAATTTTGAAAAAGTCAATTAGATTGAAAATCAAAAAAGCGATATGCTTTCACGTAAAGGTGTTCATTTTACCTCGGTTCTAAACTCTGATGTAATTTGGTTTGAATCACGTAATGATTTCAACACAACTCTATATTCTCCCCATCGTTTAAATTTATTTTGTTCATGATCCCACTTGTGAATTGGTCCGTCCAACCAGGTTGCCTTATAAATTCTTCCTGTTGGAAGATATTCAATATTGGTAAATCGTTCAAAAGGGATCCATTCGGATTTACCACTGAATTTCGCGCACTCATTTATTAAACTGCTGATATCTTTATCCTCGTTAGACCATTCAACTTTATAAAGTTGATAGTGACAATCGATGCATACACGGCAGTAGTTCGATTCTTGACAATTAGTGCATTCACTACAATTATGATAAGTCATCACTATCGAGTATTCATTTGTAGCTGGGTTTTTAGTTATTCCATAATAATCAATAATCAAAGAGCACTTTAGAGCAGTCCGAATCTAATTTTTAAAAAGTCAATTAGATTGAAAAACAAAAAAGCGATATGTTTACACTTGACGGTGTTCATTTTACCTCGTTTATAAACTCGGATGTAATTTGCTTTGAATTGTGTAATAATTTCAAAACAACGTCGGTTTTTCCATTTCGTATAAATTTATTTTCTTTGTGATTCCAAGACCCACCTGAAGAGTAGATTGCTTCGTGAATTGGACCGACCAACCAGGATGCTTTATAAATTGAACCAAAACCACCTTTTGCAAGATGTTCTACATTGGTAAATCTTTCAAAAGGGATCCATTCAAATACTTTATCCTTTTTAATATTATTGCATTCATTTATTAGACTGTCGATATCTTTATTTCCACTAGTCCACTCAACATAAATTCGTTTGTGATATCGAATACATCCAACACATCCATAATTTTGTTGACAACGGGTACATTTACTACAATCATGAGTATTGTGAACTGAACACTCATCGCAGTACTTGTAGTATTTACAATCGTAACAGTTCTTACTACAATCATGAATATTGTGAACTGAACACGCTTTGCAGTAGTAATTGATTTGACACCAACGACATTTACTACAATCATGAACCATCTTTGAGTTGAATAGTGATGATGGCAGTGATTTATGTCCAAAACGAAGATTTATATGTGGTGGAGTGGAAGTCGTCGTCGTTCACATGTGTTTGTCAAACGATTGATGCATGAAATGAAGAAGAGTAAAAATACCCACCCTCTATATATGGAAACTAAAGCTTTTACACTTTAGAATAAATACGTACGTACTGTTCTATTTCGAGATCTTTTTAGGGATAAGCAGAAACGCCAAATTAATGAGTATAGTACATATGAAAAAGGATGAACAAAGAAATGGTTGAGCATTACCGTTACGTCATATTGAATTTCTGATTGGTTTGCCGCAAGTTACACTAAAAAATTCCTAATGGACATATGATTGCTGCGGTTATTATTACACATGAAGTATGTCACAAATTTACTCGAGAATTTCCGGAGGCGCTCCGTTTCGTGACATTGGAATTTTAGTTGGCATCGCGGCAGAGAAACAACATTCTTGGGAAGAAAAAAATAAGAGTCAATGTGTCACTTGCAAATTACTTTCCCTTGACCTGCATCCATAAGATTATTCGAATTGCAATATTTTTAATATCAATTAGAATGAGCGAACGTTTTATTGGTCTGTTCGTAATTTCAAAAATCTTACTTTGAATAATCCACTGACTCTTTCTTATTCTATGGGAGATTGAGACTTAAACCATCCGTTTGGTGTTCCTGTGATGGCTCATAAATCGCCGCTACAACTGCTATTATGTCTAATGGAACATCAGGGTTAGGTTCATGCCATCAATATAAATATCCAAGCCATTGATATCCAGCAATTAATGAAGGATTCAAAAATTCAATAACCATACCATACCAATAAAACCAATTAATCGAATCAATAATGATAAGAGGAATACAATCAATGTTGATTGTTCTCTTGTTGTAATGTCACTGCACTCGGTTGACATTTTGTACAAATACCTTCTGGCCAAGGTGCATGACACAGAAATCTGGTTTCTCTAGAGGTGGAATAAATTTGGCGTTGGTGCCAGTCTTTTTGCACTTTTTGTAAATATGCATGAAAAGACATGTTTGATCTGATTTTCTGCTAAATAATTAGCATTGTATGACTAAATCAATAATTGAATGTAAATACAGAATTAATGTTATCAAGTACGTAACAACTCCAAAAAAGACATTTACTATTTATCTTTAAGTGCATGCAGTAATCACACATGCCACGTATAGAATGCTTACAGCTAAACATGAAAAACCAAATTAATATTTACTTACTAAATAAAAAGCAGCAATGAATAATTGACGCGCACATACATACACAATTCACACGTACAATTTCAGATCACGTCCTTGCTTAATAAAGTCAGACTGTTTCTCAATGCTTATATTCGTTGTTGGCTCAAATGGTTCTATTGTTGATGCTGGCTGTTTACCAATGGAAACTGCTGAAGTATTTAGTTTCACTCAATCTTTAATAATTATGTATATAAGATTACCATGACTAAAAAGATACAAACTAAGAAAAACTTAATAACATATAAGAAATATTTCTATGCGTATTTTATTCCTAACTGAATGATGCTTTATCTGAAAAATATATTGCTTGTACACCATTTTGCAAGTATTTTGATATTTTAAGTGTGAATAGACAAATCAAATTGGATTGCAATCTTGACGGAAAGACATTTGTTAAAAAAATAAAATTCATATTCATAGATTTATAATTTACTTTTGTTTTCCTGATTATAAAATCTACGTAACGTGCTTTAAAATGACATAACACCAAATCTCTTCCCCTGATCACGTTATTGTATCGAGTACCCACTATAATTATATAAAATAGAATATATAATACATGTATTATACATGTACATTATGCATATCAAAAAGCATGATTAAATTATTATAATAAATTATTTAAAATTTATTATATATATTCTGCATTTTTTGACTTATCTTTTTTTTATTCAAATAAAAATTCCTCTCCTTTCTCTTCTCCTTCACCTTTTTTTATTTTTAAATTCACCTCTTCCTCTTGTTCTCTCTCTCTTTTTCTTTTTTTGCCAATTCTTTGACATCTGATATTCAATATAAATATCTGATCCACATTCTGATTCACATTACATATTCAGCACCTGGCATCAATGTTCGACTTACATTATCCAGCATTAACATCTAATCCATATTTGGCATCAATATTTGATCCACAATAGCATTGATATTCATATTTTTAGCATTCACATAATAACACATATATAACACATATATAATGGTATATATTCTCTATTCCCAGAGAATATGTATCATCATGTATGTACTGGGAAAATGTGTGTGTATATTATGTATATGCTAATAAATATGTATTAAAAAAATAAAAAATAATAAAAAGTATAACTAATTATATATATTTAATTTAAAATATTAGGCATGTCAAGGAATACAAGAGAAAATGTGTTATTTGATAATGGATGGATGATGATTTTCTTTATAAAATTAATAATAATAAAATTAAAATAATAATATAATTAAAATAAGAATAATAATTAATAAATATATTTTAATTTAAATAATTATAGCATTATAACAACAATTTTATGGAAATACTGAAAATAATAGGATAATTTGTTATTATTATTTTGAATATTTAAATAAATCTTTTTTAATGATTAATTATTAAATCAACATATCCAGACCAACACACCAAAATTCAAAATTCAGACAACAAAATTTCAAAATACTGGATTGAAAAGACTATAAAAGTAATAAATTTTTTTATATTATTTATTTATTTGTTATTTTATTTAATTTTTAGATATGGTTGACTTTTCTGTTTTAACTCTTGTTATATTTCAAGCATTCTTAATAAAATCTTGCAACATTAAGAACAATATAGGTTAAATAATTTTTTTATTGCATATTTTTTAATATTTTTTTATATTTCAAACTATACTCTTGATTAACAATATCTTGAAATACTGGAGTAACATTTCAAAATACTGGAATAATATCTTGAAATTAAGGTTGCTTGCCGAAATCTCTTAGTGACTGTCTAAATTTTGTCGAAATTATAATAAACTATTAGTAAATAACCCG